AGGAATCGTTGTGTTTTTGTTACCTTAAAATGAGGTGTTTTTATCTACAGACGCAGTCTGTGGTCGCTGCCATGTTGAACTGTATATTAATAAAAAGTTGTTTTAAGTTTAAAAGTTACACCTGATTAAATCAGGATGGCCTTGCAACCCCCCATGAAGTTTTAGTGACCCCCAATCAGTGCCCTAGATCAACTTGGGTTCATAACAGCAAAAAAGAGAAGAAGATTGCATAAACATAAATGTCTCTCATGTACAGTGTTTATTGCTATTGGGAAAAGAAAAACCTGTAAAAAAAACAAACAAATATTCAGATGCTGTCAGCTCACCTTTGTGTTTCTGTGTAGATGAATAAGTCTCCTCAGCTCTGTCACCTCCTCCTGTAAGCAGCAGCCTTCACTGCTCTGTGTCTCCGCCCCCACCTCCCTCTCATGGAGGCCAGGGAAAGTTAGGGTGTAGGTACCAAGACTTGCATGGTGCTGAAACACTCGGCCTTCTGGGTAAAAGTGCAGCTGCTGCTTTGGTTCCACTTGGAGATTTGGAGATGTGTCACATCTGCAATGACACAAAATAATACATCTGACAATCCTTTGACCACATGTACAAAACAAATTGCACTTACAATATTTTTTTCTTGCTTTGTCTCCTTTTTATTACGCAAACAAACATGGCCATGTAATTTACTCTCTAATCCTTTCAATCATGTAGAAAAAAGATTCAGACACTGAATAAGAAACTGTTTTCGCATATCACTCCGAACAACTTGTCAGAACCGTCCTCATATGATATTTATATATATATATATATATAAATACTCTGGTTTAGGCGAGGGGTCATGCCTGCAGAGGAGGAATATAATGATGACTGTTTTTTGTCTTGATCTTAATACAAACCAAGTCTCAAAATGACCTCAAAACTACCACTGTGATAGAAACAGGAGGCAGTGTGACTCTGTCTCAGTGAGATACTTATATCATACTCAACTCATATGAAAAGGCAATCCATAATATATTGTGCTAATTGGAAATGAGGAGGAATAATGACACCAGCCGAATGCCGTGGGTGAACTAAATGAATTAACTGGATCTATAAGCAGATATTTTCACATCAAAGACAACAAAGAAAATAATTAAAAAGTTAGGGTAAAAAATTAGACTCCTATAGGCTGATATTAATTGGCAGATTGTTTATATGAAAACCAAACCATCACCTAAGTGTTTGCTTTAAGAGTGGAAAGCAAACAGCCACCAGAAAGGAGTATACTGAATAGCTGTTTCTTTCTATTTATTACTTGTAGGCTACATACCAATGTTGTGTTTTGTAATGTTCAAATGTTTTTAATAAAGAAGTGTATGTTGAATTACATGGGATTTATTGTTTTGTGTTTGTTTTTTACCATGGTATTGAATTGGGAGAATTATGAAACCACTGCAACCCTTTTCACCAATATTTTCACATCTAAACTTGGTTTGGTTTGAGTTTGTTTCGACCAAACCAGAGAAAGTGATTTGTGGAAAGACTGTAGAAACACTAACAAAGGTGAGTTTTATTTCTGTTCCGTTGTTATGGTCTGAGATTCTGGTGCTCTAAAATAATAATTAAAGCTGCAAGAAGCGTTGGGCGGGACCTCACCATTGACCCACATCGGGGCCTGCACGGTGGTCGCCC